GTGCAGCCTCCCGTTTTCGAATTGTATACTGCACAGTCTTTACAATTTTCTCCGGCATTCCATGCTCTATAAATTTCCGAATTTGATCACTTTGCATACCGGGACCGGAAGTTTGGCACATATTTTTGCTTTTTTTTTTTAAATGGTTATTTCAGAGGAATATGGTATGAGTGTCAGCATATACATAAGTGTATTTTTTGTTTATTTAATTTAATATGCCACTTTATTCTTTTTATTTCTTATAATTGTTAAATTTCGAAATTTGTAGGCACTGTGGTTGGAGTTTTAATTTAAAATTAAAATGGTTATTAGTAGGTTTCGATCGATTCACTATTAATTTCGATAAAAGCCTTTTCACACTTGTTTTGTTATTCCTTTAGTGAGTTTCCACTGTAACTGTCTCGAACTGACCGCACCGTAACTTTCGCACGATACTTGGACTAGTCGAAGTATTGAACGCTTTTGATTCAATTATCACTGCAGTGAGGTTTTATATTCGTGCAATACATTCGTCAAAGATCACATTTCCTGTCCAGAGAACATCAAACAACAACAACTGCGGCCAGTCATTGTTCGGTGTTGTGCGCATGACGCTCCGAGAACTTCAACCAGAGAACATAAAACGTGAACAAACTGCTCTTCGCTTGGCACTACTACTCATTCGCTCAGTTGACTCAGATCGTCCGCTGAATTGTCGAAATATAAGAGTTTCAAGTATAAAACGTAAATAAAAGCTTCTCTTGGTAGTTTGCTGTTGGGAAGTCAGATATAGTACATATATTGACATCTGTATACCCTTCAGACCATGCTTTTGAACTCATCGGTTTGTCGCAGGGAGAATGCCACCTTTTAAATATTCCTAGTTTTATAAAATATAACCGATTTGATCACTTGTCTATGAGTTCAATACACATACATACGTGGAATAAACTGTTAAACTTTATCGGTATTAATATGTGTGCTTTAACTGACGCCTTAAATATACGATGTTAGAATACTGGCATGAAATTACGTGAGATTTACAGCTTTCCAATATGGAAGTGATGGTACTTGTCTTTATTACCACTATTACCTTGTGATTGTCATCATTCCTTCATGGGACGGCGTACTAATGTCATTTTACTTCCAAATTTTTTAGTGACAAGCGCGCAAGTGAAGCTTTTTGAATGGTGCGCAAATTTATTTATTGTCCAGATTATTATTTCACTATACATACATATGTTCCTATGTATATCATATATGTATATTCAGACACAGGTTTCAAAATAATAAAACAATTGAAATTCATAACTGAACTCAACAGTTTCCTTTCTAAATTTCTTAAGTACATCATTTAATTTGACAAAATTGGAATCAAAGAGGATTGAGTGAAGAATATTATTTTCCACCAAAAAAAAAAAAAAAAACGAAATTACAAAACCAGGGATGTATACCTAGTAATGACTATTATTTAATTTTATAGAAGATTTTATGTTTACATATATAGAAACGTACTATATGTAAATAGGTAATCGTAAATGTATGCACTTAAAAACTAATTTTAAGGATCTTGTAATTCTATGATAAGGTATATAATTTAGATATTCGATTCTTAAAAGTACTTGACATTTTGTTTTAAATCATTTAATCTATATAGTATTTTTTTTTTATTTTATTTTATTAAAGCTTACATAATAAACAAATTATTAAATAAACTAAAGTACGCAGCGCTAGCATCAAAGGCTTTCGGCTGATAATAGTATAGATTTGTACTTTATGAATCATGAGTTAGTTTCATTCCATATATCGTCATTTTAATGGGATCCCCGATATTTTGGATGCTCAAAAATGTGATACACTCTGCGGTTGCGAAGTTTCCCACAATACATACAATCATACCATTAATCCATAAATACAAGACAAATTTCACCAAAATCGAATAGTGATCATTGTCAGTGTAATATTCACAATTTGTTCATATCATAATTATTTTTTTAGTAGTAATTAAAAAAAATATTAAGACAATACATTTTGTTGCATGTAATGACATTACTTAGTAAATGTAAATATTACCAGACATTTTTTAGTTTTTTAAAAATAAATATATATGCATGAATGTATATGTAATATGTGAAATGTATGTGAATAATAATTAATTACCTGATTTGTAGACTAAATATACTTCTGATGTTTGAAAGKATGAGTGTGGTCAAAATGACGTACAAAGGTAAATACAGTTGCTCATCATAACTGTATTTGGTGTCAATAGCAGCGTCATCTRTAAGTATGAAAAAATCCCCTTAGCAACGGATAAGATCAGTAAAACATTGTGTACATAATTGTTAGCGGACATATACTACATACATAAATATATTTTATATTCGATTTTAGGGGGCCAATACGGCCACGGGACGCATCATGAACGATCATATGAGCATTACGTATGTACGCACATATAAGAATGAATGAATAGGTCTGTGACGAAAGTAAGCGAGCGCAGTCATATGTATTTTAAAATCTTTACGAAATTTTTGTGAAATTATTGAAATAATTTTGCTGTGTTAGTAGTGYTCTAGATAAACAATCATACAGTCGTTAATCGCGTAGTTTGACGATAAGTTATTGGCAAAACCATACATATGTGTGTATGTTGCTTCTATGGCTCACGTGAGACCTTGCGCGATTTCAATTCGTAACTTTCTTGTACAATACCATGGAATGTTTTTCTCGTTCTTGTTGTATTATATTACTTTGTAGGAATAAGTGTGATGTTATCATTGTCATAAAACCAAGGTCCAATTATTGTCGCGAATAATATGATTTGTAATTCATGGGTATTGAATCAGTTCTGGAGTTATATGTACGTATGTGGAGTTATTCTAACGCTCATTCAATAACSTATGTAAATACAGAATGAAAATGTGAACATTATGCACATTTGTATGTATGTGTTATAGGAATTTGAATATTTTTCCCACAATTCAATGATGATATGTAGGGCACTGACCTTATAAATGTACCTACATATGTGTGTGCATTTTCCTATATACATACATATGTACATACACATACATATACATATGTGAATTTCTTATCAAAATTCTGATAAGAAAACTTTTAAAAAATTGTATTAAAGTTAATATTATCAAATTTTTTTTACTAATACTAATTTATCTAGTTATTTCCAAAATATTTTTAACTAATTAAAAAACGATAATTACTGCAGYCACGATTCGCATGACAGATAGAAAAAGTATTAGTCAGCATTAGCGATTATTAGTTTTTAGATTAAACTAGTAAATTTGTTTTCACATCTTTCGTTGTTGAAAATTTGACCACGAGCAGCAAAGTAGAGATTCGAATTTTTGTCGCAATCCTCTAACCGCTCACGTGCCTATTGGTAAAACAAATGAGTGTTGTATCAATTGTTGGCTAGACTTTAATGGGCTTCATACAATGTATCAATATATGACAATACTGTTAGATGTTTTGCGATTATTAAAAATATCATTGCATTGCTCAAAGTTGCATCATTTTGGCAACCCCCCAAAGTGTTATAGTAAATTCATTCTACGCAATTGCGTATCAAAAGAATTTCTCATATATATGTACGTACATAAATTTTTGGTTTTAAAATATRTATAGGGCAAGGCTAGGGGATAGTAATACTTTTTATTCTAAATTTCGCGCAAAAAACTAATTTGTCGAAATATTTTTTTTTAGGTAGGTATAACTGGCCAAATTGTTCAAATAGGCGATGAGTCTTGGATGTAGGTTTACGACGCGGAAACAGAGATCAATCGGCCGAATATCGTGAAAACCGAAGCCGAAGCCGAAACAACCACGTGAAAGTAGGTCAAAATCAAGGTCATGTTGATAGTCTTCTTCGATTAACGAGTTGTGGTGCACTCCGAACTCCATTCGACCGGCCCCACAGTCAACAAGGAATACTATTAGAGAGTTAAACGACGTTTGCGCCAAGAGGCCGTAAACTCTTGATTTTTGCAGYACGATAATGCACCGTCTCATAGATAGATAATGTTATTTTAGGTAATGCACCGCGACCTAGGGTCTATTGTGCCCTCACCGTCTCATACTTCATTGATTCCTTGTGACTTTTTCGCCAAATTCTTGCCGAATTCACTAGATTTAGCTCCGTGTGRTTTCTGGCTATTCAGCAAACTCAATCGACCGCTCCGGGGAAATTGTTTTGATTCAGTTGAAGACATTAAAAGTGAATCGTAGGCACATTGAAAGCTAATACGAAAGTTGACTTTAGTTTAGTTAGTTTCGAGGCTTGGAAAAAACTTTGGAGCCAAGGGGGATTACTTTGAGGGGAACGAATGGATTTTGAAGAATAAATTAAGAATTTTAAAATTATGACCAAAGTCTTACTATTTTGCTCATAGTAGTAAAGCTTGCTTGAGGGAGATATGACTTTTTAGCTCTTTGACTACTGTGCTGATCTATGGCATCCAAAGTCGATAAGATTAAAGTAAATTTTTAATGAAAAACTAGTCGAGATGACTCTAATTCTTTGGGGAGTTATGAAGAATTTATCTTATTTATCTTCATTAATATAATTTGTCTGAATATACTTTCTTACCCGAAATTATTGCTTTGCGCTATTATTATGACCGTTAATGAAATAATAAATCGGTAACTTAGGGACTAGTGGCTAATTAGTAAAAGCTTAATTCATGCTGAGTGCATTTACTGAGATTCTTTTGTTTAGAAAATTCGTTTTCAAATACATTTTACTCCTTTTCTAATTTTTGTTGATGGGTATTAAAATTCCCCTACATGCATATATACATATGTATGTATGGATTTATGTTGATATACATATAAGCGTTCTCATTCCCACCATTCAAAGTATCGTAAACTATTCAATGCAAAAGCTATGCTCAGATATGCAAGTGGGTGGTTTGGACGGTGATAAAGGATGTAACGCGTTTGTCGGTGCAGGAGGGTTTGAGCGCGTTTTTATTGTTGCAAATTATTGTATGAGATTCTCCGCAAATTGTTTTGCGCTCCATCTCGATCGGCTGAAATTGTGGCAAATCTGAATAATGTCAGCATACTGCCTCGTCGCGCTCAGGCTTATAAGATTACTCAGGGTGAGAAATGCTGGATATACCTAAAATTGCTTGGTGTTGGTRATTACAGTTGTCGGACAGTGGAATCGTTGGATCATTGGCCGGTTGCGAGTGGTGTACGTGACTCTGGTGTTATCAGTAATGTCTGCGCTAGCGATATAAGCACAGTTGYGGATCTTGAAGAGCAATTCTGTAATGCTTTTTCACTTCGATATCGTTCGCTTTTGTGATATTACTGGTCGGTCGGTATTTTATTTCATTTTTAGGTAGTCTTACTTTTAATGACATTATGTTTTYTGCAGTCGGGTTTTTTATTGTCAGTTCATTGTTTGACTTTGGCACTTAAGAGGCAAAATCATTACTGTGCCGTTCGGATGGCTATAAATGAGCGCAACCACAGTTAGTAATCATCAATGCCTATGGTAGGAATGTGTGCACATTAAAAGCGATATTCACTTTCTTTCGTTAGCAGGATATTGTTAGATAAATTTCATAAACGATTGTTTGGAGCATTCAATATATGTACATATGTATCGAATTTTATTCTGTTATCTTGTGAGTCTGTATTCAAACTATACTGTTAGTTTACATAATATGATCTTTGCTTGCCTACATATTTTGTTTAACATATTCAGGTCAGTTTGAAATTCCACGAAACAAATGTGAAAGGAGAGATTTATTGCCACTATTCAAGATCACTATTAAAGAAGACGCGAAATTGAAATGTATGCGATGAAATCTTTTGTGATGTTTGTTGTGATCAATTTACTATTGAAAATGGTAAAAAATTCAAATCCGTAGTTTTAATATATCATAAAATCACAAAAAAAGTTTTAAATAGTTTCTCCATATGTTAAACGAATATACATAAGTATGTATATATATATAATAATTTTTAGTGATAGTAAATGTTGCGGAGTTTCAATTTAAATGCCCAAAAATTATTATTTGGTCACAATTTAAAATTTTATAAAAACACTAGTTTTGATCCGCTCTCAAACTGGAATAAGTTGGCATCCGTTAACCTCTGGTAAATACAATCCAACAGTTACTTGGAGGCGGGGGTTCAAATTTCTATAAGAGCCCTCCATTTGTGAGATAACGTCAAGATGCACATCTGACAGAGGCGTAAGAGGCACGTATGTCGTAACGTATTTGTTATTTGAATTTGAAGGTGCTGCGCAACTAAGATTACGCACTATCATTGACATTCTTACATGCAAGCACTGACGAACAATTTTAACGTTTTATTTTTCTTGAATAACAATGAAGCGCAATGAAAATGATCATGTCATAACGCATAACCGATAAATATTATATATAGTATATATGTATGTACATACATGAACCCAGGTAGTCAATTTAAGTTTACTTGTATATTGCGATATCTTTCCTAATGATTGACTTTTATTGAATATTTAAATAAAATAATATGATAAAACGCACATATTTAGCTGCATACCTTCAAATTAGTTTATAAGAAATTATTGACTTTGTCTGTTATTGTAAAAACCTATAGCCACGTGAATGTATTTTGACTATATACATACAGCAAAAATTTTGATATTGTCATATATTATCATTAGATACATAATCTATTAAAATATTTTTATAAATATAATTTTTTTTTAATATTACGATACATACATATGGTATATGGTATATTGTATGTATGTATGAAAATATTTTTGTAAATATTGTTTTATTTTTTTAATTAATGAAGTATGTAAAAAAAGAATTGAGGATTTCATAGATGGTATCGAATGCTTTCAGGTATATGCCAGTTTATTTAAACCCCTTCGCGTGACGAGACATCAATTTAAAAAAATTTTGGCTTGTATGAAGTTAATCCGATCGTTGAAATACCAGGAAGTGTATGCGCAAGAAAAAATAACCAAAGTTGACAGTCTATCGCTCGTTCTGTCTGGAAAGTAAGTTGAAATAATAAGCCCAAAAGTTTTCTTTGAGTTATCTTCTTGTGATAATCTATATGAAATATAGAATGCCAATAATATTTCGCAAAAGACATGGAAAATTAAAAGCATTTCCATTAAAACTGAACAATTTTATTTTTTTATACTCTTTACATAGATTGGTAGTATCACAGAATCAGAGGGCGTTGCATATAGTGTTTCCTCATCAGTTCCTAGATTCGCCGGAATGGTTTGGAGTATCAACCGATGATTACTTTCAGGTATGTATATTTTAATGTCGCACTAAAAACTCTATGCACCTACCTATTGCTATCGAAGCCATTCACTTAGGTCAGGATGCACCTGATCCCTAGATAAAAATACTATAGAATTTGACATAGAAATACTTACTTACATTACGTGTAAAAGTGAAAATCCAKTTAAGCCAGGATCGTTTATAATGTTTGCTAAATGCTTCCTATCTAAGTGAGATGCTAGTGTGTGCATATTCAAATGTATTATTGAAAATATATACGCAGAGTTATAGCTTATTTCGCTTTGTTAATCTCCAAAATGTTTACACAACAAATGTGTACATACATCAGGTATCTATTATGGCTATGGAGGAGTCACGCGTTCTTATTTGGCATCGTGACAAATTAAAATTATCGATAATGGCTGAACCATTTTTACAATCAGTTTTTGATCATATTTTGGGCCGCGACGTTGTTAAGAAGTTGATGCAAGTCACACAGGTTGGTGAAGAATGATAAATTCTTATAACTTTTTTATCTACTTTTTGAATATTCTCAGGTAAGCGAATCCATAGCTAGTAATGGRTTTTTACCATCGGGCAGTTATGATGATGCCGAAGACAAGCCCATGCTGATCATGAAGAAGAGTGTGGAAGGACATGGCCTAACGGCATTAATAAATCGCCAGCTSCAGGGTAAGTTCATGAGATTATAGAATTTGTGCTTGTCTTGATTGTACTTGTACACGAGCTTAGTAAAGTTTGATTGAAAAATATTTTCGTAAGTAAAGAATTGAATGCAGATTATAAGTTTGTATAACAGACACTTGTTAGCAAATATTTACAAACATTGGATATACACATAATTTTATTATATTATAGGTATCTTCATACATATGTACGCTTTAATGAAATGTACAAATTGGGTATTATTATTGTATTCTTCATTAGTTATCTTCGTAAGGCATACTGAGTAGTAGTAATAGTATGTGCGTATGTACATATGTAATTGTAGATAATTATTTGCATCGCTTGACTCATTCGATTTATATTTGTAATATACGTATGTATGTAAATATGTTACTTTTGAATAAATCATCTAGTTAAATTTTGTTATGTTTAATTTTTTTGTTGTTAAATATAATTCTTTAACTATTTTATGTGTTTTCATTCGGTACATTGTACGCATGGTAAACATTTATTAACGATTCGATAAAGATTTCAACCACTTCTAAACGGAAAGAGGATRATAGTAAGGTTGAAATCGGTCTACTCGACGGGACCACGCACTCTTTCCAACAATTAGATTTCCCCTAAGCGTATTTATAAAATAACAGAACAGAAAAATATCTAAGTTCATTCAGAAACAWACCGACCAATCTGAAAGATCTTTTAATGTGATTTGAGTAATGTATATTTTTATAATCTCATAACATGTTTCTACAGAGTATAATAGATTTTTTTTAACACATAAAACTAGTCGAGGTAGATATAGAATTATATATACATATATTAATGATTAAGACGGCAGGACAGTTGTAAATTCGGGTGACTGTCTGTCGTCYCTGGAAGTTATAACTAGAACAAAAGGGTATCTTGATGAAACTGTGTATACATGTTCTTTGGTACCATAATTGGTATGGTTTTGTATGGGCATAAAATGCCATTGTGAATAAAAAMTATGCTTCGCCGAACAATGAATGTTGAATTCTTTCGCAACTATTTTTATACTTTTGCAACCTGTGTTAACCGATCAGGATGATAGTCCGTCCGTGCAAGCTGTAACTTGAGTAAAAGTTGAGATATCTTGATAAAACTGGTATGTGGGTTTCTTAGTACAAAATAAAATTACGAATTCATARAAGGGTGTAATCGGATCACTGCCACGCCCACAAAACGTCTTTAACTTTAAGCCTATAAAGTGCCATAAATAAGCAGTCAATTAAGATCTCAATGAAAATTACAAAGCATGTTTTACTCATAGCAGTGTATCCTTATGCCTAAAATAAATAAAATTGGACAAAAACTTGACCTACCCTCCCATATAATTAATATCAGGTATTTCGAACATCTGGCAGAATTTACTCAATAAGACTTGTGATTGTATGTGASGTACCTTTAATGAAACCGAGGGAACATTTATATGTATAGTATGTGGCATTATAACAGTAAAATCGGGTCGATACTGTCTTAACTTCCATATAGTACATATCATGATTTTCATTTTTCTAACATACCTTATATGTCCGTCAGTGTAGTAGTTATAAGGAACATATGTATATCTATATAAAATTGCTTAGATTCCGATCCACTGGTTTTACATATTTGATTTTTGAAAGTTCAAAGAGTAAAAAATATTCGGTTGCATCCGAACGTAGCTCTATCTTACTTGTTATTTTTCAATTTAKATTTGATAAGAAAACCTCAGATGAGGCACATCATGTGTACATATGTACATACATATATACTTAATATAGATGAATTTGTCGCCATAGAGAGTATGGTGCGGAATTGTCGATGCATGTGTAAAAATCAAATGCTGTAAAAACTGTAACTACACCTAATTTAACATAAGAATTTAGATAAACTAATCACATCCAAATGTTTTGGGTTTTACGTATTTTGTTCTTGTGATTGTGTTTTGAAACTTTGTATTAGTATGTATTTTGTGTTATGCAGATTGTAAAAGTGTTAACTGAAACATCAAAGTAAATGAATGTTTCAATGTTGGCTTCTGCCCTTATGCCATCGCGTTAAAAACAAACCTAAAATTAATTGACTTTGGATACCTTTGACTCCAGAAATTTACTAATGTGTCTGTACAAATTACAATAATGGGTTCTTATAATTATCGTTTGTTTTATGTATGTAAAATAAATGGAGATGAAATGATACATACATACTACTGTGATCAAATTGRAAGGTGAATTTTTAATTTATATTTCGCGTGTTTTTCGAATCGGTCAATTTTTTTTCTTCAAGTTGGTAGTACTGTTAGTGACATCTATGCTATATTTCACGYCAAAATATTTATTACTTTTTGAGATAGCGTCGTTTTGTGAGGCTCTAAAAGTGAATTTTTCGATGTTTACTATTTCTGAATTTATTGAACAAAGAAGTGCGATAATGCACCACCTCATACTGCAATTGTTATTCGTGATCATTTCGCCACATTTTCAACTAACATCGTGWCGCAACCATCACATTCGCCTGAYTTACCTTCGTTTAACTTCTAGCTATTCAGCAAATTCCCATGACCACTAGGAGAGCACCGTTTTGACTCAATTGAGAATATAATAGCTGAATCGAAGACGGCTCTAATGGCCCTAACGACGGAGGATTTTTTCAAGTGCTATGATGACTGGAAAATTCGTTGGCATAAGTGTATTTCAGCGGGAGGGGATTACTTTGAACAAAATTCACCTTTCAAATTGATCACAGTAGTATATATTTATGTATGTTTGTTKATATTAATTTCACAGCATATTCATATGGAAGCACATCCGAATAAATTTTTATTTATGCAATTTATTTTCCTCATGTCTTACATTTATTTATTTATACTTTGTTATTGTTCTATTTTAGAAGAGCATGTACCTTTACTTGGCCGTACCTATAAATCTAATACACTGCATATGGTGTCAAATCAGCCAGTGCAAGCGTCAAATCAAAAATCTGCTTTATCATCTACTCGGCATAAAAGTGTCGTACGCAAAGAGTTAACGTCTCCATGCTAATGGATAATTGATCAGTCAGGCTAAAAGCGATGCGATCGAGCGCAGCAGAAACGCAAACTCACACGCGAACGTAAATTTAAAGACGAAATGCATTTGCTGCGTAGACGCTGTATTGCCGTCAACACCAATGCTTCCACCGTCGCCCCAACTATCAACGACCATCATTCATATACCCACCATTCATTGCTAATATTCATCTGATCACACGACAGTTTTCTTAAGTTCGTGCACAACACGTCATATGCACCTCATATACTGGATATGAGTTATTCAAAAAATTCGTTTTTCAAAAAAACACAAATATTGTAAACTTTTATGTCGCCATGTTATATTTTTTAGTTTGATTATTTTTTAATATGAAAAAAGGAGTTTGCTTGTGCAGCGATGAAAAATCCGCTCTAAAGCTCATAATAACTATTACTATTAGATTTATTCCAGAAGCGACATCTAATGAATCGAGTAAATAATTTGAAATATACCAAAAAGTTGAAACACAAATATATTATAACTCTTGTGTAAACTACATATAGTGGCTTAAAGTCCAAAATAACGTATGATCAAAAAATTCGAAATTGAGTATTTTASTGATTATTATTCACTACTTCAAAYTACATACGTACATATATAAGTACATATGCCCAACATTTGAAGGTTCTGTCATCAAATATAATACAGTTTTAACCAATATTTAAAATTTGTTACATAACAATTTCCATTTTGTATCGTGTTTCATTTATTCCCCTATAAATTTCTGAAAATGTTACGTTATTTTGCAATTTAGGTGACGATATATGCCTACTTTTTAGTATAAAGATATGTATGTATGTATATAGGTACATATGTATATGTATGTATGTAAATAGTAAAGTTGTATACAAAACTTATTAAAGTGTCTAGAAGCTCAATTTTGCGAGTTTGTGCTTAATATATAGTATTTGTAACTACGTAGAAATAAATGTAACTACTTAATGAAAAGTTAATGGAATGAGAAGGTTAATACGTTTCTTGAATATGCTCCACTCTTCGTTAGGAAATACATAACTTTACTCAGCTTGCGATGCTACTCAATTATTTACGTTTCTTTGTACGAATGTCACTTTTAAGTTCAAGTTTGCATTAAATGAAAAGGACTTTCAACTTAATAATTCATTATTACATTATAATTCAGTGATTATAATTTTATTACTGATAGTATTAAAGGAGTGTTATCCTTTTTTTTTATTAAAAAACTAATAACGATCATTAAATACTTTTCTAATAACCGAAAATACGTTTATTTTAATTTTTGGCAGCTTATCTGACCCACATCCATAAGTTTAGAAAACATATATACATTTTTTCTTAAACCCCTCATATGAATTGATGTTAAAGCAATTTAACTTACATTACAAATATCACTATTAGCTATATTGCCAATCGAGAAAGTGAAGATTTYGACCTTTTAGTTAAGCAGCTGAATATTTTTTAAATAAAAAATCAAAGTTATTTCAATTCTCGAAAAAGTAAAAAATATTAAAGTCGACAATAGTTCTAATTTATATTACGATGCACAAAATTTTGGGGTCAAAACTGAACAAAAGGGCTTACATAATTTTAACATTGGGTTGCCGCAGATTACGATATACTACCTCTGTGTGTTATATGGTTGTTAAGATGATTTTGAATATTGTGTGCGCTGTGGTTAAAACACCAATGATTTTAATTTTACTCAAAAATTATATTTAAGTAATACAATTTTTTGGTACTCTAGTCAACTRAAGTCATACCAAAAAAATTTGACGATTGATAACACTTCATCAGAAAAAAAATTAAACGGGCTGCATTGAAAACCATAATAAAGAATTTTGAAACTTCAACCAAAATGCGGTTGGGTTGAAAATCTGAAAGGGCTTTACAGATAAAAATACCTGTACATGCTTTTGTAGATCTGTATCACATTTCAGTTCTTACTGGATCTTAGTATTAAATAAATTCAATAATGACAATAATGCAGCTACTTTCGATGGAAGCATTTGTGGTAGTCTTTATTGCGGTTTAGAAATATTTAAATACAAAAAATATACAGACATATTTTGTATTTATTATTTGAATATTACAAATTGTATTTATTCTTTTGTTTAATTTAAAATTTCTCTTGTTACCGTTTCTTTTCTCACAAAAATGTTGCGTTAATATACCACCAGCCATACCGAGGATATCGAAGTACTATGATTGCGGTAAGTTGATTAATGCATGCTTGTGCATGTGTGTGTTTGTATGAGTACATGTACATATGTACATAGACGTATTTTCAAACTTTATACATGAACAAATATGTGTTRCCTTTTCTTGATTGATTTTTAGAACGCACCTCGTAGAAGCTTATTGAATCTTAATTACTATAGATTAAGGAGGAAAAATATAGATTTTTGCTGGATTAGTGTGTATTAATACACATATTAAAAATTATGTTGGCTATTATAAACCACAGATTACAAATTCGGAATATATAGAAAATGATTGGATCATATACAAAAGATATAAGATCTATCTTTAAGGATATGCATATGCGGAAGTATAGTCATTGAACAAACTACGAAGTCATACGTTCTTAGTGAACATTATTTTGTTATTAATTCTCTCTGTTGCACTTCATATAGGTATACATAAATATTTTTTTTTAATTTATATTAAAGAAGATTTTTTTTCGGTTTTAATTTTATTGTTTGAAAATAAATATATATAATATAGTCAATAGACTATCATTGTAACATTTTTCATATATGATAGTGAAACATGAGTAATTTAAGAGTCTATGATAATATACGTCCAATGCAAATTTCCGAAAACATCTCTTACACATTTACATACCATTATCTTTAATCTTGCCATATTTATTATTTTTTTTTTTTTTTGTACTAATTACACTAAAAACTCTTTTGCAGCGGGTGATCCTAACTCCTGGCGATTAGGTAGAATTGATGAGACTGACCATGAGACGGCTGTGTGAGTGTTACATATATATAAATATATGTATCCCATAGATGCAACAGCGTTGATACGAGCAAAATATATCCCAGCCCTGACTCAAATAGATATGTATATAAAGGCAGATTAATTATATGTATATTGTGAATTGATGTAAATCAAGGGCAGCAATGGAGACAAAGTGCGAATGGAATTTTTCTAAGTATTACTAGCAAATAAGAAAATTATATAATTCTTGTATTGTTTGTACAGTAACGACAAAGATTTAAATACATAAATTCGATTATAGACAAAGTAACGAAATTTTAAATATATATATATATATATTTTTTTTTTATTTATATATTTACATATGTATTTATGCAAGATGTATACTAAGAAATCATACCAACATTCTTCAAAGTTTAATATTCTTTAGCATAATTTTAAAATATATCAGAACAGTTGGATTTTTTTTTTTAATCAATTTAATTTATTCTGTTGACATTTTGAGTTTTAACTATTGATTACATTATACGATAAAAACGTGTTTTTTTTGGCATCGGACGAAAGCAATGTTTTTCGAGAGATTGATTAAGTACAAAAGCCCTTTTTGCGTTTTCGAATTTAGTTTCCAAAAGCGTTATAAGCCTGTTTTGAAATGTTGAATCTTTATTGCGTTTTTATAGGGTAACTTTGAAAACCCATATTTTTTTTGTCTTATAACTCACCCTCTCCAAAAATTTAGGACTCTTTCWATGTACTCTTGTACCCCTTTTTTATGACATAAGTTCCACAATTTGGTTTTTCATACGTATCTGTGTAGATATCTATTATATATAGTAGCAAACATAGGTTTCATCGATTATTTATTTAATAATAGATACAGTGTAATAGCCATATTCGTTTTATTTTCACCATGAATATATTCATATATATTTATGTTTATGACAATAGAAATAACTCATAAGAAACCTTTGGTAATCGGTAAGATGGTTTAAAACKTTCAAATTGAGAACAAAGTTTTGGCAAACTTTGGAATAAGTTGTAAACAATATTTATTAGTATTTTAATTTATTATTTTTAATACTTCGAAGGACAACTAAAAAGGTCCGGAAAATATTTTTTTAGGGTCTTTCACGTTTAGACGTCAAAATAAATTCACAGGAATCTTATAATATATGCATGCAAAGATGAAGTTATAACGTAAAAAAGTATTACAAAATATTAGAATTATGAGCATTTATTTATTATATAAATAAAATTTAAAAAAAACGAAAAATATACTTTTTTTAAATATGCATAAATAAAATATATTTATGACCTTTTTTAAACTTAATTAATTACTTTCATATATAATTTTTTATAATATCTTGTGCTGCTCAACCCGAAAATCAATTAATAAATATGTATATGAATCTTTGAATTCAAATTTTGTAGAACCGTGTTATACAACAATGTTCTTCAAAACAAGAAAAAACGGTAAGTTCGTCCACCGTAGTTAAAATATACATCACAGCCGCATTTTTTATAACATTAAGGAGTATACGAATCTTTATCCTGATTCTGCTCAGTTAGTTTGAATGGCAGCTGTACGAGGTGTGTTCAAAAAGTATCGCGAATTTTGAATTTTCGCGGTTTCGAATTTTTAGTTGCTCTCACTTATGCCGACAAGCTCGGCCATTTTGAATGTTCATT